CAGAATAGCTTAAAAAAATCCTGAATAATAGAAGAACTGCTGGATGTTTCATAATACCAGATCTCTAATTGTAATACAGAGCTATACTAATAAAAAATGGCATGACATTGGCATAAAAATGGACACATTGATCAATGGAATACAGTTGAATTCCTTGACATAACTTTACGCCTCTAAGGACATTTGATTTTTCACAAAAGAAACAAAAAATACTAGCAAAAAAGAAGCATCTTCAACAAATGGTACTGGTCAAACTGGATGCCTGAATGCAAAAGAATACAAATAGATGTGCTTCTACCAACGTCCACAAAACTCAACTGCAAATGGATCAAAGATATCATCACAGGATCAGATGCCGTGAACCTAATAATTGTTTATGTATGAATTATGCATGAACTCATTGTCATAATAAAGGTCTTCCTGAGCTGGACCCTGATAGCATAGGTATTGAAACCTACTATTAATAAATGGGACATCTGAAGCTATAAAGCTTTTGTACAGAAAGACACCATCATTTGAACAGAGCAACAACTCTTATCACTGTCTTCCTTGTGCTGGGATTACTAGTGAGTTCCATCATGCCCAGCTGTTTCATAGATGATGGGGATCTTAACTTACCTCCTTACATTGTGCCGAAAATGTTTTCTTGACTGAAATTGCTACCCAATCCTTATATTTTTTTTATAGAGACACAATTGAACAAATGCTCGAAATGATTTGTTCATATATAGAAGAAAAAGAGGAGTCTTTATTCTGAAGAAACTAATTTTTTGAATTTTTTATCGATTATATTGAGCTATACATTTTTCTCTACTCATTGCCCTTCCTCTCCTGTCCCCTTCTAACCTCTCCCATGGTGTGGGAGAATGGTCTGTATTCTTTCAATTATATTTTAAATAAACATTGATTGGCCAGTAGCCAGGCAAGAAGTATAGGCAGGACAACCAGACAGGAAGTAGAGGTGGGTCAAGGAGAACAGGAGAATTCTGGGAAGGAGGAAGCCCATTCCTCTGCAATCCTGACCTGATCACAGAAGAAGCAAGATGTGATTGCCCCACCGAAAAAGGTACTGAGCCACATGGCTAACACAGATAAGAATAATGGGCTAATAATGGGCTATATAAGTTATAGAAGTTAATAAGAAGCCTGAGCTAATGGGCCAATCAGTTTATGATTGATGTAGAGCTCTGTGTGATTTCTTTGGGACTTAGCGACTGTGGGAACTGGGCAAGATAGAAACCCCAACAACACTCCCATGGTCCTCACACTCCCAATTTACTCAGGAGATCCTGTCCTTTTCTACTTTCATGTAGATTAGATCCATGTATGTCTCTTTTAGGGTCCTCATTGTTGTCTAGGTTCTGTGCAATTGTAGGTTGGTTTTCTTTGTTTTATGTCTAAAAGACACTTATGAGTGAGTACATATGATATTTGTATTTCTGAGTCTGAGTTACCTCACTCAGTATGATGTTGTCTAGATCCATCCATTTGCCTGCAAATTTTAAGACGTCATTATTTTTTTTACTATGTAGTACTTTATTGTGTAAATGTACCACATTTCCCTTATCTATTCTTCACTCAAGGGACACTTAGGTTGTTTACACATTCTGGCTATGACAAACAATGCTGTTATGAACATAGCTGAGCACATGTCATTGTGGCACAAATGAGCATCCTTTGGGTATATACCCAAAAGTGGTATTGTTGGATCTTGATGAAGGTTGTTTCCTAATTTTCTGAGAAATCTCCATACTAATATCCAAAGGGCTGTATCAGTTTGCACTCCCACCAGAAATGCAAGAGTGTTACCTTTACCCCACATCCTCTCTAGCATAAGTTGTCATCAGTGGTTTTGATCTTGGCCATTCTTACAGGTGTAAGATGGAATCTCAGAGTTATTTAGATTTGCATTTCTTTGATGACTAAAGATGTTGAACATTTCCTTAAGTGCGATCAGCCATTTTAGATTCCTCTGATGAGAGTTCTCTGTTTAGGTCTGTACTCCATTTTTTTATTGAATTATTTGACTTTTAATGATCAATTTCTTGAGTTCTTTATATATTTTGGAGATCAAACTTCTGTCTGTTGTGGGGTTGGTGAAGATCTTTTCCCATTCTGTAGGCTGTCATTTTGTCTTGTTGATCATGTCCTTTGTTTTACAGAAGCTTTTCAGTTTCAGGAGGTCCCATTTATTAATTGTTTTTCTCAGTGTCTATGCTGCTGGGGTTATATTTAGGAAGTGGTTCCCTTTGCCAGTGCATTCAAGTGTACTTAGCACTTTCTCTTCTATAAGGTTCAGTGTGGCTGGCTTTATGTTCAGGTCCATTTGGACTTGAATTTTGTGCATGGTGATAGATATGGGTCTATTCTTCTACATGTTGATACCCAGTTATGCCAGCACCATTTGTTAAATATGCTTTCTTTTTTCCATTTTCTTCTGATTTTGTTAATTTGGTTATTCTCTCTCTCTCTCTCTCTCTCTCTCTCTCTCTCTCTCTCTCTGCCTTTTGGTTAGTTTGGAATAAGGTTTCCTATTTTATTTCCTCAAAGAATCAACTCTTTGTCTTATTGATTCTTTGTATTGTTTTCTTTGTTTCTATTTTGTTGATTTCAGCTCTCAATTTGATTATTTCCTGCTATATAGTTCTCCCAGGTGAGTTTGTTTCTTTCCATTCTAGAGTCTTCAAATGTTCTGTTAATTCTCTAGGGTGGGATTTTCCCAACTTCTTTATGTATGCATTTAGTGTTATGAACTTTCCTCTTAACACTGCTTTCAATGTGTTCCATAAATTTGGGTATACTGTGTGGTCATTTTTGTTGAATTTTAGGAAGTCTTTAATTTCTTCCTTTATTTCTTCCTTGACCCATTGATGCTTCAGGTGAGCACTGTTTAATTTCAATGTGTTTGTGGGATTTCTGGAATTTTAATTTTCAGCCATGGTGGTCTCATAAGATACGTGGTGTTATTCCAATTTTTTTTGTATCTGTTGAGGTTTGTTTTGTTACCTAGTATGTGGATCAAAGGCTCAGACAGTAGATTCTTGTGGTTCAGCCAGGGCCATGATTCCAGTCACCCTGTTGGTCACTCCATGTTCCTGGAGGTCGCTCTGTGCTCTCGGGGTTCACTCTTGCAATACCAGGGGTCGTTCCGGCCTGTTCCTATGGAGATTGATTGTTTGGGACTCTTTTTGTTGAGGTTACTGCTTTGGGCCTGCTCTGGCAGAGGTTGCTGGCTCAGGCCTTCTCCATCAGAGATTGTTGTATTGGGCCTGCTCCAGTGGATATTGCTAGCTCAGGCCTGCTACCTCAGAGGGGCACTGATTAATGCTGCCAGGTCTGGCAGAGGTCTCTGGTTCAGACCTGTTCCCTCAGCATTGGCTCCCTTGTACATGCTCCTGTGGAGTTCACTGACTCAGGATTTACTCTGGCAGAGGTCAGTGGCTCAGCCTTGTTCCTGTAGGTGCCCCTAGCCTGGGCCCACTCCTGTGGAGGTTCCTGGTTTGGGCCTGGTCTCACAGAGGTCTCTAGCTCTGGCCTACTCCCTCCCTAGGAGGTTCCAGCAAACTCAAACAATTTAAATTATAAATAAAGAAATAAAGAAATAAAAATTGAATGTTTGATAATTTGTTATATCTTTCACAAGACTGTGGCAAACATTTTCCATAACTGTTGCAACAAACTAAATTTTCAAATGTGATTTTTGAGTTTCTATGGATCTATGTCCTACTTTAACTCTCAATGATTTAATTAAGTTTTAGTTTGCCAATGTCATGGTATGTTAATATTTCAAGTCACATAGTAGTGTATACATAACGATTGTTAAAGTATGTGTAACACATAAAATGTGTATTCCTGTATGAGCAATTCTGAAAGAAAATTACTTTTATTAAATGACCAATATCTCTTATGTGATACAGGACTCATTCACACAGGTTCTTTTTATTTTTGATTGATTACATTTCTAGACATTTTCTGGAACTTTTCCTGCTTTCAATTTCATTACCCAATACAGTGTTCAAATGATAGCCATCTCATATGAAGGCCAATTTATGTCATAATTGTGTCATACATTTATCTAACTATCAAGTACCCTTGAGACATGGCAGCTTCACTTAAATGTGTTGAAGTCTGTATGACAGTTGGAGTGACTATGTCTTTCTAATGTATGATGCTATCAAAGGACATAATGGTGTCTGGTTCACTATGAGGTTTATACCAGCAGCAAGAAAGAAAAAATAAATTCATCAGAGAATAGGAGCCACAAGAACCTGTGATATATTCAGGAAACCATCATTCCCATGACAAAATGTATCCAAAGAGGAAAAATATGGTCATTCTACTTCCATAAATGTGAAGGCATTTATCACGTAAAGCCTTGAGTCATCAAAACTTTCCTGAAGAGTGCGGAGACAGAAGAGACCTAATGTAAGGGAATGGACAAGCACAGCAGTTGAAGATGGCTTGGAGGGCTCTAAGAGATACAAATCGCTTCACTTGCCTCTGTAGGTAGAAACTCACAATAGAGCCACTAACATTGCTCATCAGATTCTAAAGCAGAAGTTCAGTGAAGCAGGGCACAGGATGACTTGAGTCAGTCATAAAAACATGCTATTGTCAAACACCTGAAATTATTCATGTATCAAATTTTTGCCTTCCTTCATTTCTCTCACTCATTGACAGCATTGGGAATGGAGTCCAGCCCGCTCCTGCAGAGAAATTCAATCCACAACAGTTACTTGGCCTTCTGTAAGCATAAGTTGTTCTCCACTTCATGATGATGTCTAATTTCAGAGATTTTGCGATGCAAACAAAAAAAGATGTTTTAACTTGTGGAACTCTGTAGGTACTATTACAAAGACTAGGAAAAATGCTGATGTCTGTCTTACAGTGCAACAGAATGGCCTAAATCATCCAGTCATTGTCCCAAAAGAGTAAAAGAATATGCCAAACAACATGAATATGCCAAAGAACAAAGGTGACCAGAACTTATAAAACTATCATCAGGAAAAACAGATCTTATAAAAGGAAGTTTTTTTGGTGATGAGTAGGAAGGGACAAAAGGTGGGGAAACATGATTCAACAAATGCAAAAATATTTACTAACCACAGCTTTGGTCTATTAATGAACACTGTATAAAAAACCAGGATGAAAGTCATTGAGTAGAAGGTGACATAGGTGCACACTAGGATCAGGATGACTTGGGTGGCTCTGGCTTCAGGTGAGACTCTGAGGCAATGGCGGGAACTGCGGAGGTACAGTACCTGCTTCTTGTGCCTGTAGAGGATACTCACCATGGAGACACTGGCCCAGGTCATGAGACTCAGATAGAAAATATCAATGAAACAGATCAGAAATAAATATAGTGGGATTCCACCAATATCAAATGATGAGCAGTAGCCCACATTGAATTTCCTAGTGAAATTTAAGTTGGTATTACGGCCAACCACCATAGCAATTTTGCTGTTTAGAAACAGGTATACAGGCCAGCTGAGTGAACAGGAGGGAACAATATACTTGATGGCTCTTTGTTTAAGCTTCCCCCACCTGGAGTTGCTGGGGCTGACTGTGATAGCTTGGAAACAACTCAAGAAGCACATGGTATGTAGGGAAACCTCTCGGGATACTCGATTACTGTAGACAATAACTTTACATGCGATATCATCCAGGAATGATTGAAAGCCAAACAATGCCATTGTCTGTGGAATTTCTCTTGAGGTAATAGACAATAAGTTGGCTAGGGTAAGATGCTTTAAAATCTCATTTTTGGGCATCAGGTACCTTCCAGAGAATAAAGATATAAAATAATGGAACAAAATTGATGAGTTACCCAGGACTCCCACAACTGTCTGGGACAAGCAAAACATCCCCATTGACAAGTTCTCAGGAGCCATCTTCTTGTCATCTAAAACAGACAAATGTATTCATATCGATAGAAGCAAGGAGAACAACAAACATTTGCAACAATTTCTTACTAGCTTAAATTAAATCAGTATCTCATCATATTTTTCATAAAACTTTCCCTCTAATAAATGTTTCCAAAATATTTGTTACATTGACTTTCACGGTAACATCATTAGAATTTTCTATGGCCAGTTAGTGAACTTTCAGGATCAAGACAAATAGTCTCATCCTAAAGTGTCTGCCAATTAACTGCATGTTTCTTATATATGGAAAATATCATTAATTTAGCCTCATTATAACAATGAAAAAGTTTCTTAAGAATAAATACAAAACTCTTTCTTGCATATATGAACAAGTCATTTAGAACACTTGTTTAATGGTTTCTCTATAAAAAGTATTTTGTAAGGGTTGGGTAGAAATCTCGGTCACTAAAGAATTTTCTGCACAAGTGTGAGGAGGTGAGTTAAGATCCCCATCATCCATGGAACAGCTGGGCATGATGTAACTCATTAGCAATCCCAGCACAAGGAAGGTAGAGACAAGAGTTGTCATTTTGATCAAATGATCGTGTCTTTTTCTGCACAAGAGCTATATACCTTCAGAGGTAACACTTATTAATGGTTGTTTTCAATACCTGTGTTTCAGGACCTAATAAGGGTCCTGCTCAAAAGACCTTTATTATGCCGATGAGTACAAGCATATTTTATACTTTAACAAATTATTAGGGACAAGTTCTCAGGAACCATCTTCTTTTTTTTTTTTGAGGGGATGCAGTGAACTTTATTGATGGTATTCAAGAGAGTAGGGCTCCCTAAGCCCCTCCTGCTATCTGGGGGTCTGGGATGGAAACTGTGAGGGAGAGCTCAGTGTCAAGGGTTGAGTTAGGACAGGGACTGCTCAGCAGCCGAGGGCTTCTCTCTTGCTGTGTCCTTGCTGGGGTGGGTGGTCTAGGGCGGGCTTCTTACTCCTTGGAGGCCATGTAGGCCATGAGGTCCACCACTCTGTTGCTGTGGCCGAACTCATTGTCGTACCAGGAAATGAGCTTTACAAAGTTGTCATTGAGAGCGATGCCAGCCCCAGCATCAAAGGTGGAAGAGTGGGAGTCACTGTTAAAGTCGCAGGAGACAACCTGGTCCTCAGTGTGGCCCAGGATGCCCTTTAGTGGGCCCTCAGATGCCTGCTTCACCACCTTCTTGATGTCGTCATACTTGGCAGCTTTCTCCAGGCGGCATGTCAGATCCACGACGGACACGTTGGGGGTAGGAACACGGAAGGCCATGCCCGTGAGCTTCCCGTTCAGCTCTGGGATGACTTTGCCCACAGCCTTGGCAGCGCCAGTGGATGCAGGGATGATGTTCTGGGCAGCGCCACGGCCGTCTCGCCACAGCTTCCCAGAGGGGCCGTCCACAGTCTTCTGGGTGGCCGTGATGGCATGGACTGTGGTCATGTGTCCTTCCACGATGCCAAAGTTGTCATGGATGACCTTGGCCAAGGGGGCTAAGCAGTTGGTGGTGCAGGAAGCATTGCTGACAATCTTGAGGGAATTGTCATACTTGTCATGGTTCACACCCATCACAAACATGGGGGCATCCGCAGAAGGGGCAGAGATGATGACCCTTTTGGCCCCACCCTTCAAGTGGGCCCCAGCCTTCTCCATGGTGGTGAAGACACCGGTCGATTCCACAACATACTCGGCACCGGCATCACCCCATTTGATGTTGGCGGGATCTCGCTCCTGGAAGATGGTGATGGCCTTCCCGTTGATGACAAGCTTCCCATTCTCAGCTTTAACTGTGCCTTTGAACTTGCCATGGGTGGAGTCATACTGGAACATGTAGACCATGTAGTTGAGGTCGATGAAGGGGTCATTGATGGCAACAACGTCCACTTTGCCAGAAGTGAAGGCAGCCCTGGTAACCAGGCGTCCAATACGGCCAAATCAGTTCACTCCGACCTTCACCATCGTGTCTCTGGAACAAGGCTGGCACTGCGCGAAAAGAAGCGGCAGTCTCTAGAACAGGGAGGAGCAGAGAGCCAGGAACCATCTTCTTATGGTAAGATCTTAGATCAACTTGGAGTTGAGTTTTATGCATGGTGATAGATGTAGATCTATTTGCATTCTTCCACATTCAGTCATCCATCACTATTTGTTAAAGATGCCGTTTCTTTTTCTCATATGTATTTTATGCTTCTTTATGAAAAATAAAATGTCCTTGGATGTGTGGATTTACACCAAGACTTCAATGTATCTGTTTTTATACCAGTGCCATGCTATCATTACTAGTGTAGCTCTCTATTACAATTTGAGATCTGGTATTGCGAAACATCTGTAGTGCTGGGAGTGGCGGGCTGCGGCCCGGCTCCCAGCTAGCTTTACCCGAAATAATTACATGGAAACTGTATTCTTTTAAACACTGCCTGGCCCATTATCTGTAGCCTCTTATTGGCTAACTCTTACATATTGATTCAACCCATTTCTAATAATCTGTATGTCACCACAAGCTCGTGGCTTACTGGGAAAGATTCAGCATGTCTGACCTGGCAGCTTCATGGCAGCAGCTCCCTGCCTCTGCTTTCTTCCTCCCAGCATCTTGTTCTATCTACTCCACCTACCTAATTTTCTGTCCTATCAAAGGGCCAAAGCAGTTTCTTTATTAATCAATGAAAGTAACACATAGACAGATGACCCTCCTCCATCAAACATCCAGCCAGTCTTTTATTTAGGATTTTTTTAGTTGCTCTGGGTCTTTTGTATTTCCATGTGGAGCTTAAGTTTCTTTTTTTCAATTTCTGTGAATAAACATGTTAACATTATAATGAAGATTGAACTTAATATATAAGTTGCCTGTGGTAGGATGGCCATTTTTCCTGAATGTTAATATGTGTGATATTAACTCTGCTGACCCATGAACATAGCTGAACTTTGGCTTCAAGTGTTTTCTTCAATTTTTTTCTTTGATACCTTAAATATTTTATTATACAAATTTTCACTTATTTGGTGATTTATTCTAACATTTTGTTTTTAAATCTATTTTTTAAAGCTGTTCTTTCTCTGATTTCTTTCTCAGTCTGTCAGTTGTATTTAGGAAGATTACTGATTTTTCTGTGTTAAGATACATCCTGTTACTTTGCTTAAAATATTTATCAGCTGTAGAAGTTTCCTGGAGGAGTCTTTTGGGTCTTTTATGTATAAATTCATGTCATCTGAAGAGAAAGATATTTTGACTTTTTTCCTTTCAAACTTGTATCTCCTTGACTTCCTTCAATTATCTTATTGTTCTAGCTAAAACTTCAGGTACTATATTGAATAGGTATGGAAAGAGTAGACAGCCTCATATTCTGGATGTTAGTGGGAATGATTTTGAGATTTTCTCCATTTAAAATGGTGAGTTTTCTATAAATTGCCTTTATTGTACTGAGATGGTTTTCCTCTATCCTAGTCTCTGAAGGACTTTTATCATGAAGGGACGGTGGACACTGTCAAAGGTCTTTTCTTTATCTGAGATAAACATGTGGTTTCCATCTTTCAGTATATTTCTCTTAGATTGAAAGAGGAAATCAAACAAGATATCACACAATGGAAAGAACTTCCTGCTCCTGTTTGGCAGAATTAATATTATGAAAATGGCCATGCTTCCAAAATCAGTCTATACATCAAAATTCTCATATCATATCTTTCAGCTATACAAAGAATCCATGAATTTATATGGAACTATAAAGGACTATAAATAGCTAAAGCAATCCTAAGAATTAATAACTGAGCTGGAGGTATCATGATAGCTGACCTCAAATAATACTGTAGAACTAGCTGATAAGACAGCCTGATATTGGCATTAAAAACAGTTAAACAAATGGAACAGAATAGAGAATTTAGGATTAAGCAAAGAAACCTATGGCCACATATTTTTATACAAAGGTGACAATGATTGCAGTAAATAATAGCAAGTCAATTATCAAATGGTACTATCAAAACTGGATATTCACTTACAGATGAAGGAAATTTATTAATTCGGCTTTTCACTTTGTAGAAAAATCAATTTGAAAAGGATAAAAGACCTTAATTTAAATTCTAGAACTGCAGGATGAAAGCATAGGGGATGCTCTTCAAGACACTGGGGTAAGCAAGATCTTTCCAAAAAAACACTTCATTAGCACAGGAATTAGCCCCAAGTATCAGCAGGTGAAACTACATAAAGTTTAAAAGTTTCTGCACATCAAAAGAAACTATGAGCAGAACGCACAAACAGCCCACAGAACTGGAGAATCATTGACCAGCTACTCTCCAGACATGGGAATCGTATCTGGAAGTCACAAAGAAATGAAAGAATTATATATGAAGAAAACAAAACTGCAAACCAACAAATGGACTAATAAAATGAGAATATATTCTTCAAAAGAAGAAATACGAATGAGCAGTAACTATTTTTAAAAGTTGTGGTGGAACATGGGAACATGATGGTAGAATGTGCAGAAGTGGCAGGGACAGGGTGGGGTCAGTAGATCAAGACAAGACTGTGCTACACAGTTTATTCAGTGATGACAGATACATCTTTAATTCCAGCACTTGGAGGCTGATGGATCTCTGTTGAGTTCTAGGCAAGACTGGTCTACATAGTAAGCTCCAAGTCAGTCATGGATACAGTACACAGGGAGACCTTGCTTCCAAGAAAAACAGTTGTTCAGTATCCTTAGTCATTAGGAAAAATAAATTAAAACTACTTTGAGATACCATCTCTCTCTAATCAGAATGGCTATCATGAAAAACATCTGACAACAAATACTAAAGAAGACGTGGGAAACAGGAACCTTCTTCACTTCTAGAACCTGTGGAATAAATTATTATTGCCCATGTAACAGGAAAAAGAGTACATTGAACACCCAGTAGTCAACACCTTTCCTTGCCTGTAAAAAGGTTTCATACTGTTCACTTCCAATCTCAGTGACAAAGTACTTCCTCATACTCATTTGTCTCATTTCCAATTACCCATGT